AAGAAGAGGAATCAGGAGAAACATTTCTTGTGTTGGCCTGGTTGTGACTGATTTTGATTATATAGCTCAGCAACATGAATGTGCAAATAGAAATGATATTTTATCTAAATCCCGATCGTTGGTCGTACAATATTGTACACGGTACAGTAAGCGTCTCAGGTTTCTATTGAGAGTTAGTACCACTTTCGAGCGTGAGGTAGAAACTTTGAGGACGTCACTGATCTGCCAGTGGATGTTTATAGACTCTGTCCAGCTTTTTCGTGTATTTGGACATGCATTGGAATTAAAATTTCGGCATCTGTTATTTGCAGCATTACATAACTATGTCTATACTTCATACATATCCGCACGTTACTAACCTATACGGGAAATAAAACTGCTGTTGAGAGGGAAATAGCAAAACGAAAATAAACAATTATGTTAACGTTTACTGTATAGTTAATTCATTTTTTTCCTTTCGGTGAGGCACATTGATTTCACTAATGATAACAAGGTATTACTCGTATCAATTCTTTCATTATCTTTCATTTCTTTCATCTGGCACATTTCATATATCTGCTTCCCCCGCACTTAAAAATCCATAAAATTGTTCCTGACGATAGATAAACCTTATTGAAAAACACACACTGTTAATTTACTAATTTCTATTAATTAAACACATTACAATTAATTTTAAAACTAATGTGCGTAAATGGAACAGAAACACAACACAAACTTATCTCCCAGTTATAAAACGATGGAATAAATGCGCTTGAAATACACTCACTACATAAGTAATAAACTATTAGGACAATATCGTACTACATTATTCTTTCAATATTTCACATAAATGGCGGCTCGTGTTTAGGTTGCACAGTAGTACAGCCCCCAGAACATGGTAAAATACTTTCATACGTTTGTAATATAGTTTATTTTCATTTTAATGCCGTTCAATATTCGAGATATTGCAGAAATGTCGATCTATGAAATATTAAAGAAAGGCAGGGCACGGATGTGTCTCAGTCTATTAAATTCATGTGCTAAAAAGATGTTCAACATTGTGACGCACGAGCAATCCGACGGGCTGAGCATCCCTATTCGTCAACATGCTTGCGATGATGGCTCGTACTTTTACTTTCTTATATATGTACGTAGAATATTACTCCGTAGTACAGAGAAAGTTATGTATTGCTGCGGCAAAAACGGTGATTTTCGGCAGAAAAGCTCGTATTAAAGAGCCCTGATATAAAAAAGGTGGATAAATCTTGTTCTAATATGTAGTTAACCACTTCCTTTAACGGGTCGTGCAGTGGGTCCATGAATTTTTCTTTTTTCAAAACGTCCGCCCATTCTTCCGTCCGTTTGTCGCATGTGAACAACACTAGCGCCTAAACCATTGCTACAATTTTTTGCAAAATACATAGTTCCCGATCGATCTCCGACCAAAATGTCGTCGATTATAAAAAACGTTCTTTAAATTTTGGGGGTACTTTACATGAAGCCCCTGGTATATTTTCAAAAATTTCTCAAAAATGGCACCCAATTTTTTTATTTAAATTCCTTGCAAGAAGAGAGTGAAATGCACTTATGAAGGTGGTGTAAGTCCAATTTTTACTAACGCGAAAATTAAGAAAATATGGAATTTTTTCCAACAAGTCCTACAACTACAAAATTGAAGATAGTTATTTTTCACGTAAACAAAATGGTCTACGGAGTCTAACTATTAAATAAATTAACGTTTTTTCAATAAAAATATTTACAGCATTTATTGGGTTCAACATTCACTTACTTTTTATTTATGTACAAATTTCTTATTTCACTAAAACGTTTTAAATATCTGTCTGATACACCCTTTTCAAAGAATTGTTAAATTTGTTTGTTCGGCGTTTTCCGCGGCGCTTACAATTCGTGGAGATATTGTAGACTCCGATGCCATCGGAGAGAAGTTTTCCCGCGAAGAATCTTGACGTCCACCGGGAATCTTCTGTTCTTGTATCTTGATGTCACAATTGAAAATTGTCCCCCTCTAACCCGAATAGCAATTACCCCCTATGACACCTCTAAAATTATTAAGAAAACAAAATTAATTTCATAAACCTCAATAATGACCCAAACTATTTACAATTGATTGCTTCCACGAATGTCTCGGATGGACATTTTTATTTCGAATGGTTTTTACACGTGCATTGGCTAAACATCTTTTTACCACAAAAAATACTATTACTTATAATATTTCTATCACACAAACACACACAAAAATAAATTTAATATGAAATGTACTGTGCGACATGTTCAAATGTACTATTTGAACTTCAGACAATTGTTCTATCTCATATATCTGAATATTTCCTACGAGCGTCATCTTCCATATCTAAAATATAGTAAGCAAGCGATCGCTACCGAATTTGAATTCCGTCTTCAAGCGTAACCTTCCGAATCTAAATGGCTTCTCACAAAAACTAGGTTTTTGAAGAAAACTATCACCTCCGTTTTCAGTTGTCTTTTAACTTTAACTAATTTTCTCGTTTGCCTTAACTCGGGTGCTGACACTCACTTATCCTGTCCTGACGCCTACACCTCTATTAAAACGTGTCACCATTGGTTGCCCATTCCTTCCACAAATTCTTCATAAGATGTAATAAAAAATTATATTTTAAAACAAGCCACGTTCCAAATTGTGAATGTGATTATTTTCTATTACAAATATCCATTGTCCAATATTTACTATCTATTCGAGTCTCGAACATTCGTGACACCTGAAATTAGTGTTGAAATACCGGCATTTTACATATTTTCGTGGCGTCCAATTAAGATACCATATGTCCTTTTTGTGAATACGTTATTCTGCTCGACAATTGTCATTTCCGATTTCCAGTCCTCTAAAATTAGTTATTCTTACATTAATTTGTGAGTTTTTCCCTTGAGATGTTTGTTTACCTATTTCAGTATAGAGAAAGTATGTGGTGCTGCGGAAAATCGAGTTTTGCAGCACCACATAACTTTTTGAAATTTCAACAGAAATTGACGTTTTGGTGTCCCCTGATGCCGAAAAGGTGTTTTCCGCTCGTCTGCTGCCCGTGAACAAACACTCGCACCTAAAGTATGCGATGGGATTTCTTTTTTTTAACTGAATACATCCCGATCGATCTGCCTCCACTCGAAGCTCGCAGATTTTGAATATCATTCTTTAATTTTTGGGGGGTACTTAAACTTCAGGGGTTCATGAAGCCCCAGGGACTCAAAATGTTTTCAATGATTCACTTTTTTTTCTTCAATTTGTTTTGTAGAAGAGAGCAAAATACACTTATAACTGTTAATTCCAATTTTAACTGTTAATTCTGAATTTTCGAAAATTCCAAAAGTCTGAATTGTTTTGGCGTCATACTACAACTAAAAAATTGATGATAGAGATTTTTCCTTCAAATGAAATTTGTTCTTCACAATGATCTCTTCTCATTAAGTCCATGGATATTTTTTTGAAAATTTTAGTAATTTTCACACAATATTGTGTGAAATGTGCAATATTTAAAAAAAATCAAAAACAATGATTTATAATAAAAGATACATTTTTCATTAAATTTTTAGTGAGGATAGTAGCTAAAAAAGTAGTAACAGACGATATAAACGTGAACTTGCCCTATTCGTTTTTTAAAGTACACATTTGTAATGATTATTACCCCCTCCCTCACGTCATTAATATTTATACTAATACTGATTTGTATACAATTTTGAATTTGTAAAAGCAAATGCTTCAAACTATGTCTCACAAAGTTTCTCGAAAACTCAAATGTTTTTTGTGAAAATGAGCTCAAAATTCCGCATTTTCAAAAAGTTTCTCAAAAACTGAAAAATTGTAGGTGGAAATAAGCTTCAAAATTCATATTTTCAGAAATGCGCAAACTTAAAAAACAGCTCCAAACATTTCAACGAAAATTTCCATATGGGGAACAATCTTTTTCTTCTAAAATATTTTTAAAGTCATGTTTCTGTTCTACGATTAAGGGACTGAAAAAAAGTATAAATAATTATTTTGGGCGGAGATAGCAGCTGGGAAGAGGGCCAAACCAAAAACCTAACCCAGACCAAATAATTAGAAAACTAGTACTGGAAAGTCTGTGCCAATATGTAGCACCTCTAGCTTTCTATAATATGTGGTATTTAACATAAACAGAACACAAATGAGTTAGTTAACAATTAGACAAAGAAAATGGGCAAAAGTTTTGAAAAATATGGTTTATTGCATGTTTTATTATTTGCTAAACCATTATCATATTTAATTTGAGAAATGCAAACAAGTTTTCAGAACCAAAATCACAAATTCCTGTTGCATTCAACTCCTGTTTCATTAATGGGAATGACATGTAATTGTAAAAGATTAGTGATATTTTTTCCTCAGTTTTGTAGCTTCATGTATGTAATTTTTTTTTCTATCACTGGTACTAACTTCATTTTCATTATACTGAACAGTCACTGGTACACATTCAGACATAGATCCCCAAACAACCTTCAGCCACCTTAGACCTCTTTTAAAAAAGTCAACCAATAGGGAATTGATAAAGATCAGATTGAGAATGCCTGGTCTAACCCCTGCTCATTGGGAGTTATTTGCATTCAGTTGTTACCTACCTCAAGAGGTGATAATTCCACTTGTTGAAACTATTCAGTAGACATATTCTTTTCCACCAGGAACAAGAATTACAATTGTACTACAGTAAAATATGTGACACAAAATTCACATGCATATCTTTTGAGTAGGCCTATCATGATTTTAAAATATCAGATTTTATCATAAATAAGTTTTAGAAATTCTTGTAATCACCAAAAAGTTAATTATGCTCAAATTAATAAATCTTTACCTAACACAAGTTCAGAAATAGATAGAGGAAATTCAAAATGCTCATTTGACAGTAAAATTGAAGGATTTGATTTGAGGATTTGCAAAATTCTCTTATTTCAATATAAATCAAAATAACTGCATTATCTTTTGTGCTCACAACCAGGGTTTAAAAACAACATCTTATTGGTTTTTATTGTGGATTTATTTTGCATAGCTTCACATTCAAAAGTTTTGAAAATATATTTAAGAAACAGCTTACTCATTTATTCATATGTATAAAAAAAATGTATAGAGCTTCAATATTTTTGGTTATGTGTTTGCAGATGGTTTAATTTTCATACAATAAGATTACAAAGAGAATTTATTTTCGGTGAGAGGACACAATAACGTAAGATGAAGACACATTGATAAGTACAAGAATACACCAATTGAAAGTTATCATGTCATACCAAAGAGAATTCTTCTGAAGTTTAAACTGGGAGATGTTTAATTGAAAACTAAAAGAAAAGACAAATTTGAGGAAATATGCCCTCATACTCTTCATCATTTTTCTGGCATTTTTATTAACACTTAATATGATGAAAATTATAATTTTACAAAAAAAATAGTAAATAGTCATACAATTTTTTTTTATCTAACAAACAAAAAGTAAAGTTTAAAAATATTGTCATAATATCAAATAAAATAATTAAAATATGAAAATAATTTACATTTATTCATAACACTCTTGATACTAACAAGCTCCTTAGGAGTTTGAAATGCAATGTTTTCTACATGTTTTTTTTTTTCTTGTTTCTTTTCTTCAAAACACTGAATATACATAAGATTATTTTCTGGTTTAAAGAATACAAATAAACATTTAAAATTAAAAACTAATTCATTTTAATATCAGTAGCCAATGTTACCAATTTTCTTGTTTTAATGTATTTCTTATTCTAATCATTTAATACAAGATACAAAACAAAAAAATAAAAAACATTGAAAACAATAATGGCATTTTTCTGATTTCATTTTCAATTAGAATCTCATGATGCATTAAAGCCACATTATATTTAAAATTATGGCACAAAACAGACAACCACAAATCTAGCATCATTAAGCCTGAAGACTAGTTTCTCTCGGATATGTGACTTCAGGATTCAGCATCTTATAACACAATGAATTCTCCTGAATAAGTATTTGTAACAATGTGAATTAAATAGACTAAAATATTTATAAACCTTATTTCGTAACTTATAATCATTTTCTTTAATATGAATGTCTGGGTAACTCACACATATTAAGGACAAAAAAAACTGTTGCAGATGAAAATTGACCATCCTATTGTTACAATTTCAGCAACTACTAAACGGTCTAGATAAAAACAAGGCCTTTCAAAGCACAATTCCTACAACACTGATCTTACAGTTCCATAATTAATTCAACATTATCAAAGGTTTCACAACTAAGTACATTACAATTTCAGTCATGTTTGCAATTAATGCATTGTGTTTCCATATTCTTTCCCATGGAAACAATAGGGGGAAATATCAATAGTTAAAATGTCTCAGAACATTATATATTAATCAGAAGACAAGCATTATAAACAAGTTTCTTCTTTAATCCATAAAATGTCATCTAAGTAAAAGAATGGATTATGGCTAGTTAATTGTATTATTATAAATTGTGTGAGGATTCAAAATATAACAAATCTCTTTTCCTCATTGTGTTACACATTATCACACAAATATTTGAGGTACAGGACTTTTGGGGTACTGTACAATTTAACAGCATCAATTAATGCAGTAATTGAAGGGCTCAGGACTATAAGGTGGTAACCCTCAAAATTATAGTTTTTGTCCTATTAACATTTCATACGCTACCATGTGCTGTCCATTCACTGCAATACTGAGTCCAAATAAAGGCCCATAATTGTCCCCAGCTCTCATTTTTATGTGCCCCATTGAAACCCCTAACAGCAAAAATGTTTTCTTGCTTATCTCTTGCAAAGTTTCTGGGTGGGTTATGATCTTTACATCTGAACCCTTCAGTTATTTTCTAACAGCTGAAAATTTAGTTTAAGTGTGACAGAATTTTCTCGTGATACTGTGAAAAACAAAAGAAATAAATACACAATAATGAATGGAAATAAAGAGAAGTTATAGTTTTTCATGATGAACACCCATTTGAATTATAAAAAGGGGTCCATTTTAGTTTCTCATGTAATTATTGTAAACCGACATGAGGACAATTCGATATTCACATTTGACATCGACTAATATATAAATACAATATAATGCAGTAAGGAATGAAACAGCAAAATATTTAATATCCTAATGAAAAACTGACATAGCTTTTTCCGGAACTTTCACATGCAATAAGTAACTGCATTGTAAAGAGACATGATGACCACTAGTGACCACTAGTTAGCATGTGATGGATCATAATATCTCTTCACTTTATACCTGAACTAAATTAGTCGGGAAATGAGGGCAAGTTACAGGATCTGGTTAGAAAGTGCAACCACACATGTCAATTGAAGTTTATGAATTAAAATGAACATTCATATTTACCTTAATTGACACAGGTAAATATTAAAAACTGCAAGCCCATAAAAATTAAATTAGGATAAATAAATCCAGCAAAATTCAGACCAACATTAGAAATTTATATTTTCTTCAATAATTGACCCTTAAAAAAGACTATTTAATCATATTCAGGCAAGGAGAGCCGAGACTACTAGTTAAATGCAGAATGGCACATTGAGAAAAATAAAAGAAATGTTAAGCTAACAAAAAACAGGAGAGGGGGGGGGATGATAATGTTTTTTTTTTCATCTTTAATTCAGAACCAAAAATGTACAACATCAAAAATATATCATACACAATTTGTGATAAAATACTTGAATTTGCAAAGTAAAAAAATATAAATATTAAAGACATGACAAATGGTGTGATGCACTTGGGACCATCTTTTTGTGAATGGCTCCTTACTGAATCCAGGTGCAGATCCACGCAGAGGGAAATTTCACTCCCTACAGTTTTTTAGTAGCTATTAATTTTAACTTGACATGAAACTTTCAAACAAACATATTTTCAGATAATCATTAACGAATAAAATCATATCGCAGAATGAGCTAAATGTAGCTTGCTAAATTTTACAGAATCTGATTTATGACACATTTTAAATCCCCCCCCTCCTAAATTATTATCTGGATCTACCCTTGTTGAATCTGATCATTAAATTTCTTTGACGGAAAAACTTTTTAACAAAAGTAAAATTGGCCTCTCAGAAGATGAGAATGAATGTATGTGAAACACCTAATTTGCTTTTAGATAAAAGATCACAAGACTGACGAGAACACTCACTCATTGTGGGTGTTTAAGATTAAGCCAAGTATATTTCTAATAAGTGAAATTCTTCAGCCAAAATGCCAAAGTTGGGTTTTGCAAACATTCATATTATTTGGAATAAATAAAATTAATGGATGTGTTGAATTTATTATTGTGAATTCATTATCATAGTAAAGCCTTTCTATTATGATTAATTTATAATTGATCATAAATTGAGTTCATAATAATAACTAGCACCAATAAACAATAAAAATAAATTCCAGAGTCAAAATGAATCATTTGTTATAAGTCCTTAAACTTTTCAGTTCTCACAATTACCTCTCAGAATCATTTATTGCATACACCATATATACATACATATCTGCAAATCACGACACATGTTGGCAATATTTGTAGGTAGATAATGGGATTTTGACAAGGTCAAAATACCTGACCCACATTCCATTAACTACATAGAAAGATTATCATATATACATTTTGTTATTCCAACTGCTATGTTAATCATTTAACACTTGGAACAAAATACACATTTTCTACTTAAATTCAAGTAAAATATCACTCTCTTTTCCTTGTAAGACAAAAAATAGGCAAGGAAATTATGAAAATGAGTCCTAAAAAAAATAGGAAAAATATCATGTTTTAAAATTAGAGAAAAGAAAGAGCAGTTTTTCTTTCTTCTCGTTAGATGCTATCCGTATTTTGTACATATCTGTATTGGGTAGTTGTGCATTATTACAAGAAACATTACTTCCCTATTCATTATATACATATCTTTGGTATTGAGTATACATAATTTAAAGATCATAAAATACAGCATTTAAGAATGTACAGAACACACATCTTTAAAATTTGTTGCATTGAAGCTTGAAAAATAGTCATCATGCAGAAATCGAACAATGCATTCTATGGGACACAGATATGCAGATGACTGTCTTCGTGGTCCATGAGGTGTCATGCTGCTATTGTGTAAATTTTCTGACCCTTCAGAAGTTTTTGCTTGAACTGTGGTAAGATTATTACTACCTTTGCAAAAATGAATGTGATTTGTGAGATCTCTTCCATTAAATACTAAACGAAAGAAATAATCTCGAGCTACTGTACCACTATTTGCCTTCTTAGATGTAATATTTTGTTCCTTACTCTTGTAAACTTCAATTACGAGTCGAGACGCATAATGAGGAGACACAGTTGTGTCTGAGATGACACCTAAAGCTGTTGTAAGATATTGCAATGTTTTATCATGACCTGAATAGAAAACAAACTTTGGCTTCTTTTCTGATATCATTCTTAACATATGGGATACTATATCTCGAACAAGACCATAAGCACGTAATAAGCAGGACCGCTTCAGGTTGATACTTTTTGCATATTGACGTGCCTCCCACTCAGTGTAAGCAAAAAGTCCAGTCACTTGTTCCATGCGAACACATGACTCTGGAGGTAACTTTTCTGTTGTTCCAACGTCAATACATGGGAGCTGAGCATTATGACACACATAAAGCAGTAGAGCATCACCCAAAGCATGAGGATCTGAAACCAGAGCTTTGTCTGGCATTTCAAACACCACTGATGCAGCTGTCTCAACTAATTTCACAACTGCTGGATGTGAATGGAAGTGTTCATTACTTTCAGAACTGAATTTGTGTCTAAACTTGTCAGCAGCTGGGCAAGCACATTCATTGAAACAGAAGGCCAAACTTTGACTTTCTTTTAGCACTACTTTTTGGAAATCCTCAGCTGAAAGAAAGGCATACAGAAATGCTACAGCACTTTGAAACGTCCTTCTGTACCGTGTGCTATACACTGTCATGTCATCAGTTCCTAGAGAGCCATTGCCAATGCCAAGTCGATCACCATATGCAAGCCTTAGAATATGGCCTGTTTTAAGTAATTGAACAACTCCAACAGGAGTCATTTGTCCCAATTGACATTCACCAGATGTAGGGGGAAGCAATGGAAAACCATGGAAAGGACCTAGAAACTGGGGTAAAAATGATGATGTTTTTCCAGGTGATGTAAGGTTCTGTAAAAAGAATTCATAGGAACGAAAACTTATATCTGAATCCAATGTCTCAGCATTGACAAGGTCACCAGCACAGTTCACATTAGAAATGTTTCGGACATGTGACAGTGGTCCTCTGTCTCCATGTCGCACAAAAATTAAAACACCTTCCAGTGAATAGTTACCATGAATTTGACCTGTACAAAGAAGACATAACTGATAAGTCTAGTACTCTTGTTTGACAAATTATAAAAGTAAATTTTTAAATTTCTTCCCTTACCTTCACTCCCTAAAGAAATTTCTTCTGGTGGGTTGCACAATTTGAAAATCCTTCTCATTTTAATATCTGGTTTTAAATTTTTTGGGAAGTTTCTGTTTGGCATCTCATTACCAGTGTGTTTCAAAGTAGATGTACCATCTTCATTGCCAATATATTTATACATTCCTATAAACCGAAGTCATCAGTGATTGTCAAATGATAGATAAAAAACTAAAGGAACGGAATGAAAGACACTCACCGGCAACGAGCAAAAATATCCACACACTTAGAATCAAGTAACAATATAAAGCTCGATGTTGCGACGAAAGTTTCATTGTCAGTGCCGTCAACATTTTGAAAACTTGTTCACATCAACTAAAACAAGTCGACACACTTAACTTCCTATGAATATTGGGTTTCATTTTTTAACATTTCAAGTAACAGTCTTGTTCGACAAGGCGAGTCTAACCACCATTTCTCAGAATGGGTAAGTACGTGAACAATTGTGAGAAATCCTTTTAAATTTCCTATTTACTGGGTCTGTTTACATCTGTGTTGATTTCAGAGCAGGTGGGCCGGTCATTTTGACACTTGACATAACAAATCCAGCATACATCAGGACCCTCGCGTTTGAACACTAACGATCGTTGCACCCCTAGTTTTTCTTGAAGGAGTTAATCAAAACAAGCGCGACTTTGGAATCGATGTAAGCGCCAGGCTCCTTCTTTCTAAAGCCCTTAAATACTTTTCGTTTCATTTAATATCCAGATTTGTAAAAGTTGGTAAATAATTCAGTAGAAATCCATTGCAAGACAACCCGTGTACATAAAGAGAATCCCGCTTATTCGAAACTGGGCTAACATGAGTTCCAAAGCATATGTGGGCAATTTATTTCCGGGTGTAAAAGACCCGCTTATGATTCCGACCTGTAGTAGTCAGAATAATTTTTCCTGGAGAATTTTTCCCCAAGATTTTTTGTAGGAACGGCAAATTTCCCCCTCGCGGCAAACAGGTGTTTCGGTGGCTTTACCCTAAAGTACCCTTGACAAAATCTGCATAAGAGGGGATTACCGTCTGCGGAAATATTCTTCCAGGAATATACCAGCTCCACAATGACAGGAGACAATTTGCTGTCCTCTCGCCATCAAGAGCTCATTCATGCTCATACATTGACCATGGTCAGGTGAGGAGTCCGGTTTTATCACAATTGTGTGAGCTGAGCAGTATTTGACAAGATGTAAGGATCATCATTTCAATGGATTTTATATTTTGTTTTGTGCTTTTCAACATCATGATGTTATTGGTGATGATTGTCAGTCAACGGTTCTCCTTTTGTGAGGTAGGTGACGTTTGAAAATGATATTTTTTTAAAATTCCAAGTGTGATAGCTTCAAAATAAGTTAATTTCAATACCTGAACAATTTGACAAACTTCAAGCAGAGAATAGTAAAAATATATGATGACCTTAGGTGAAGATGTAATGAATAGCAATAATAGTATTTTCCACTTATAAGAGATCCCATTGAACAATGTCACAAATCTATCTCCCTGTTGTCTTATATAACATGGTAACATATTCAATACAAGGCTAAGGTGAAGAGCCTGTAATGTACAGGGTTGAATGTGGATCTGACAAATTTTAGTACTCTTTTCTCACTCAGGGACAGAATTTGTACCTTTCGTGGCATGCTTCTTAAAGTGAAAGTAGACAATTTGAAGTGAGTGCTGATTAATTTTTTAATTCATGGCTTTCTTCCCCATTGAGCTCCATTTTAAAAATTTGATCTTAAACTAGTAATTATCTAAACTTTTAATTTGTCAATTCAGTAATAATTTTTTTTAGAAATCTGTAGAAATTGTATTAATTTACTTAGGATTACTTTAATAATACTTTGAAATAAAATTGTAAAATAGAAGTGTATAAAAAAACATTAAAAATAGGGGTCTGTTGTTAATTGGGCCTTGGGACTGAGCAACTCTTAAAATGGCTACTGTTTATTCACAGAATAAATATGAAACTGAAAAAATGAATATGATACTTATAAATATGACACAAGCTATAAAATACAAAATATTCTTTATAACTTGCTTAATATACATTTCTTCATATTCTGAATAAATATCATGACGGTATTTACAGTATGTCATCAAAAATAAAATTGAACTGGTTGTGCCTTGTTGTATAGCTTTTATCACAACATTTAACATTAATTTATTATTACATTTTTGTTAATTCCTTAAGTTTTCTATGAAATCATTAAATATATAATTCTGTAAGTAAATTTTAAAAAGAGGAGACTAATAAAGCAAAAATAAATTAATTAATAAATTTAAAAAAATAAAGAAAGAAATAGGAAAAACGAGAATATTTTCTAATTTTGTATTATTCCCTTAAAAAACAAAAAGAAAAATAATAATCAATAAATCGAAATAAAGTTTAATAAAAGAAGATGTCAGATATTAAATTACTAATGAAAGAATAGGGTAGATAATCTATTAAATTAATGATAAATTCAGTGTAAACTAGTTTCTAAATAACGTGAACTAATGATTTGGAAAAATATTTTGGAACATTCAATAAGAATATATTATTTCTGGATATACTATAACTTTATTTTATAATGAACAATCAGAATATTTTTCTGTTAATTCTTACTTGACCTTAAACAATTTAAATAATTATGTTTTCAAGCTCTGTGATAGTTGAAGATGAAAGCATTAAACTACTGAAAAAGCTTACACAGAGTTTTAGAAAAAGCAAGAAGAAATCTTTTTGAGAAAGGGATGGAAAATCTATTATTTTTTTCTCCCAAAATTGTCTCAGCTTCTAGTTTAACATTATGCCCCAAAGAAATCTGTAAATTATTTTTAATTGCAGACACATTCGCCCAACAAATGCATTAACAAGTTGCACTTTCCAACCATTTACTAGAATTAAAATTGATGAAAATGTATGGACACTACCACACGGCCAGTCAATGTACTTTTAAGTTCACTCTATTGCCGGTAGATGTCGACAGTGTGTTCTTTCCACACGAGACTTCCTTGTAAACAAAATCACGTGGTGTTAGCAGTGCGTTTCCACCAATTGCACGTAACGTAGTTCTCAGTAACCAATGAGAGCTGGCGAAGCACGTGCTCCCGGCATGGCTTGTTCGTGGGCTGGGCTCCCTCACACAATCAATCGTTCGTCTCGAGTGGGAGGCGGTAGTAGTATTCGAAGCGTGTGTGCCTCTGGTGGTGGATGGTGCATCGTCGTGTGTTGTGGTGTGGAATTGGTCAGGGAATAAATTTTATTTTTTAGTGAAAGGCGAAGAGAACCCTTCTCATTTCGACTTATGTAGAAAGGGAAGAGATTTGAAATGTCTCACCAACGAGATACTGTTATCCATCTGGTGGCGGGAGGGTAAGTGATTGATGTGTTGACGAAAAATGCATGTGATATCAGTTATCTCTAAAAAAAAGTATGGCTCGTGATAGATTTATTTATTCAGAAGTATGAATAGTTATAATTTAGATGAATTTTCTGTTGCACATCTCTGCTGTAAATCGGCATTTCAAACCTAAATGACCCGGCAAGTGGTCCGGCAGCTTCCTCTTATCCCGTAGATAGTTTTGCCATCTCGAAATTATGTTGCAAGTTCTAAATAAACACTATAACCACTATCGCATATCATTAACAACCTTGTTGGTGGGTTTAATAGAAGTAATGTAAGTCGCTGAGCGCGGTGCTTTAGAGTTTTTTCAGTTCAATAAATATTTAATATTTCCTGTTTTACATTGTTTAAACAGAATAGAGGAAACTTGAAAAGTATTTGTCCATTGAAATTCGTTCAGAGATGAAATCTTAAAAATATTTAATTTATGAAGAAATGACAAGGAATTCAGTTTTATTTTGATATAAAACATTCTTTTGGAACAAAATCTTCTACCAAACGAATTACGAGAAGCAACGATTGTGAAATTTATATTTTATTGTTTTTAATTAGTGTTATTTACCACAGTATTAAGTGAGAAGCGACTCGTCCAAACAAGTTCTTTTAGGTAGGTTTGAAAGATTTTCTCGTTAGGAATACATCAGTAAGTTCGTCTTGGAATTCAACTGTGGAAAGTGCCAATAAAGTAACTTGCATAATGATTTGGAAGTGACAATGAGTTAATTCACAAGTAAATATATCGTGGATTGCCTTTTTGTGTTATTTTTAAATAATAAACTAGATAATCAAAATTTGGGTGAAGAACTATCTTTGTAAATACGACAGACTGGTTTTGCAGCATCCATGAGGCTGAGCAAAACTCATCTCCCAAACGAAGTGATGCTAAACACTTACAAATGGTTAGAATATTAGCGGGTAATTACTGTGTAATTTCTTATTTTTCTTGCTTTCCTTTGTTGCACCGGTACGAGGGTGTCTGGATGGGGGATGGGAATTATCGTGGCACCACTAAGTGCGACAGACCGTTCAGTGCTGCAAAACGCAGGTATGGAACATGAGTAAATACTTATCCAATCCAGTCGTAAATCGTCCATATGACAGTAAGTCTTTCAAAACATTTTTTTTTTAAGGATTAGCCAGTTAACTGCTTTACTTTTTTTTTGTAGCACCATGAGATAGATACACGACCTGAGTCTTAAAATCACTATCGAAGGAAGCATGGCAATATTGTTACTTTAGTGTAATGTTAGCGAAATATTTAGTTCTAATGTAATCATAGTAGTGAAGGAATAAAGTTGCCAATATTCAGAAATTATTTTATCTTGTCCTCTTTTTATTTACAGGATAATTTACTTGTCATTTTGACGTGCTTCGTTAGTAAACATAAGTGACTATCCACATGTCTTTCATTGCAAATTATGTTAGAGCTGAGATAGACAACCCTGTTTTCTGTAATTTTAACAGAATCTGGTTTGGGTTTGGAAGTAATTTTAAAAATTAGCATTTTACCATTTAATGTTATTTTAAGCATTGAGTAACTTCGTTGAGTTATCAACATTAGTACCTACGTGTAAATATACAAAATTATGTATTATATAAGTCTGCTAGAAAAAATGGTACTATCTTAAAGAGTTGTTAATTAAATTGTCATTACCCATGCGTAACAGTCCTCGATTGACTCTTTCCGATCCTGAACGTTTCAATATATGAGCCGCATTGTGCTTAGTTTATAATTGTGTTAATTTATTAATTGATATTTTGATTACAATCATGGCAGTTTCCTGCGATTTTTCATATTTTAAAACGGCAGCTGTGAGGAAGGGGTCGAAGGCGCTTCAGAAATTCTCCCATGTGCCTCCCGGTTTTACAATATCGTGTATGAATAAATTGTTACTGTAGGTTGCAGAATGGAAGCGTAGTTCCCCGCGCGTGTGGTGCAGATAATGCGCAATTAATCGAGGGCGGACGCCTCCCTTCTGTGTTTCGGTGTCAGCTGCTGTGGCCCAACGGCAGATTCGTATCATCGCAAACTGGCTGTACCACTAGGAGTCCTCTTAAAGTTTGTCGACTTCTAAAAAATTTAAACAAATCAATATTAATATAATTTTTTTTCTTCATTTTGTATACTTTATCTGGGAATGTATAGAAATAATTTTGAAATCTTGCCAAAATTCTATCACGATTTATTTCCTCTTTTTTTTTCGTTTTCTTTTTCTTTCTTTTTTTGCCTGTCTTTTTTCTTCTTCT